CATGACCTCAATCCAAAACTTTGTGTTACCTTTAATAAATCAATACATTTTTAGCTTTAGAACACCGGGACAGAATGTCCTTTACAGTCACTTAACTATGAGAGCAAAAATGCATCTACTTGCATTCAACGACACTATACCTAAATTAAGAATAAATAACAGTTAACCTTCAATGAAATAGTTCTCATGAGCTGTAGATATTGGTCAAGGAAGCAGAAAAGATTATCACAAATGCTCAAAATTTTGTTTAAGATTAAACAAGTGCTAAATTATTATTATTCATTTGCAGTATCCTTTTGGCCTAAAATTGTACTAAATACTATGCTAAATACAATCTTGAAAAAATAATATATCACTTCCCTCATATCTCTTTGGATAGTGGAAATCTACATTAAAACAAGAAAGTTAAAAATAAAAATTATAACTCATAAGCTTTTATTGGTTAGGGCATTGGCAATATTAAAGACTGGTGTAATATCTTTCTTTGATCTTACTTCTTTTCCTTGATCTGGTGTGCAACTTCAGTGGCACCTGTCTCCTTCTCTCCATCACTGCCAGCCTCCTTGTCTAGACTTGAATTACTGGATAGAATGAACAAAAACAAAAATAAATTAATAATGACAATATCAATAAAAAGACAACAATAACAACAACAATAATAATAATAAATATAAAAATTATCAAACTTGATCATCTAGTCTCTGCTTTTCAATGAAAATTGTTAACTCATTCTCCCTCATTTGTTATCCATTGTTATGTATCTCTTTGTCCTTTTATTCCACGTATCTCTATTTTCCTTCTGTAATTCACGTACACAAGACGAATCTCCATACTTGTTAAATAAACAATGATATTATGTAAATGAATATATAATGATAACTTACCAAATAATGACTGTTTTGGATATATAATAACACTATTCAGTAATGGGTCCTTAATGCACTTACAGTATTCAAATGGACATTATTAATGATTTTTGTTTAATTAGATCAAATGGACTTAATTTGTATTAGGCTCAGTGGGGTATATTTATACAGTAGCTGTGCAATATAAAAGGACCTATTATTATCGTTATTATTATATACAATCTTACCTGACATATTCTGAGGTGATTCGCATGATGTGAAGCGAGAGAGGGTTAACGCACTGTGGTAGTCTTTCCTCAGCCAGAAGCAAAGGCACTGTCTCACCGTTGTCCAGGTTCTTCACGATCACTTGCGATAGAATTTCCTTTGGGGGGAGGGAAAAAATGCATTAATTTCAAATGTTTCTAAAACTCATTTGAAGATTATTCTCTCTCTCTCTCTCTCTCTCTAAGTGCCATATCGATTGACTATGGCAATCATGCTGTTCCACAACCCTCGGCTCCTAGCCTTCTCTATTAGCACCACTCCCAGTTCTTTCACTCCTCTCTCTTCTAACAATTTCTGCAGACTGTCCATCCAAAGTATTCTCCTTCCTCCCCTACTCCTCCTTCCCAAGATTATTTACAATTATTATTTACGATAAAATGATTATTAGTCCATATGGATAGTAGACAAAATGAGCATTAGACAAACTGGGAATTAGACTAATTGAGCAACAGACCAAATGGGTATTAGACCTATTGGAGATGGAAATGGAAATTAGACCAAAAGACGATTACCCAAAATGGTCATTAGACCAAATGATAAGTAGATAAAATGATTATTAGATGTGTGGATAGTAATAATAATAATAATAATAATAATAATGAACGTTACTTGTTTAGCGCATATCACTAACACAAAGAAAATCCCTAAGCGCTTAGGAAAGAAGGAAATAGAGATAGGGCAGAATAGAAATGAACATTTATGCCTGATGGACGGACATGATGTAGACCATATGGGAATAGACTAATTGGGTAGTAGACGAACTGGTTGTAGACCAAACGGCAATAAGCCCCTTTTCATTACCTCATCCGTCAGTTCCTCCCCCGTCATCGACCTGCCCATTAAAAACAAATGTAATTCCGTTTAAATGATTAGACCAAATGGAAATTAGACCAAAAGACTATTAGCCTAAATGGTCATTAGACCAAATGATAAGTATACATAATGATTATTAGACGTGTGGATAGTAGACCATATGGGTAGTGGACCTATTGCAAATTGGACAAAATGGAAATTAGACCAAAAGACTATTAGCCTAAATGGTCATCAGACCAAGTAATAAGTAGACAAAATGATGGGCTGGATGTACACCATATGGGAATAGACTAATTGGGTAGTACTTGGACAAACTTGTTGTAGACCAAACAGCAATAAACCCCTTTAATTACCTCATCCGTCAGTTCCTCCCCCGTCATGGACTGTCCCTGCATCAGGTTATAATACTTGAGTAGTTTCTCCGTCTCGGGGGTGTTGCCCCTGCTTGGTTTCTCAGGGGGCTGAGATGCGCCCCTGCTTGGTTTTTCGGGGGGCTGAGATGTGGTGCTGACAGGAGCCCCGCCCTGTTTGACCCCTTTCGGCATGGCCCGCTGAACTTTCAGATCTTGCCTGGATTCTCCCTTGATGCTTTGGGTGTCCTGAAAGAAATAATATAAAAAGAAGTCTTTGAAAATTCATATTGCAATTTAATGCTCGAAAAAGAAACTACCAAACTGTTCATTATAAAACACTTTTTATGCCAATGCTCAAGACGAATCTGTTCCATACGACATCATTGCAAGAATAATGCTAACAATGAGAATAAATAAACTCCCTTTGATGATAAATAACGTTGAAGTACATGTATGTGAGACATTTTAGCAGTATGAGCACCCATAAGGCCTTTAAAAAAAATGTTGTATTGCCCTTTTGGGTCAGTCCGTCAGAAATCTTTTTTTTTTTTACTCCCTCTTTGGGCCGATATTTCTCAGTTCTGAATGCTTTCATACATTTTTTCTCTCAAAAAGACGGTAAAAAAAATAATTAAAATTAAAAAGCCAACCGTAGATTTCAAGATTTTGGGGTAGGTCGCAAAGGGCAATACAACATGTTTTTTTTTAAAGGCCTAAGAGGCAGATATCGGAAGTATACAAGAAGCTTTCATCATCCAAGAAGGACTAACGGATAAATTAAGTAATACTCAAAGTGTATAAAGTTTGTAATATATCTATGTCAATTTCTACCTGTCTAATCACTGAACAAATTTGTCACAACCTGTCGCTATACCCGATATTCATAATGATAAACCTTAATTGATGCCCTGGCTTTTGTAATTTGTCAAAAATAATGCATTTTTGCTGATACTAATGTATTATTATCATTATTAGTTTATGTATCTATTTTATCTAATAATAATAATAATAAATTACATTTATATAGCGCTTAATACAAAGTTTCTAAGCGCTTAACAAAAAATAAAATTAAAGTAATGTTAACTTACAAATTACAAGAATATAATACATGATACATAATTATAATAACAAATTCTTAATAACAATAATACAATAATAATAGTTATTATTTACATAAAGCTTTATAGTTAAACAAACAAAATATGATTACATTACATTACATATTAAACAGATAAGTCTTAAGTTTACTTTTATCTATTATGATTGTAAAAGAATCTGCAATTCGGGCCGCTTTTGACATTTGCAAAAATATTGCATTTTCACTGATATTAATGTATTATTATTTTCAATTTATGTATCTATTTTATCTATTATGATTGTAAAAGAATCTCCAATTTGGGCGGCGGGTGATGTCTTATAAATAATTTTTTTTAAATAAATAAATGAATAAATGAATAAATAAAACAATAATGGAATGTATATGGCAGGCACAAATCAAAGAAGTGAGTTGTCCCTTTGCAAGATTTTTACAACAGTCAAGTGTCGAAGTCGAGTGGTTTAAGCACTTGACATGAAATTCAAAGGTCGTGGTTTGATCCCCGACACGGTACTAATGCCCTTTTGGTAAGGCATTATTCTTTATTTGCCACATTCGACCCAGGTGAGGTAAATGGGTACCTGGCAGGAATTAATTCCTTAAAATGCTAGAGCGCTGTAATGGCAGCTAGGCTACAGCTGTGGTAATAATTAAATAGTGCGCCTCGGAATAGAATTTCTAGATAGACGGAGCTATATAAATGCCTTTTATTAATATTAAGGCTTGTCTCACCTTATGGAATACGATGTAGTCTCCCCCGTGCACCGCGCTGGCTAGATCCAACGAGTGCTCAAGCTCCCTCGTTATGCTCTCGATGGTGGTGGTGGGCGTCAGGAGACCGCTCAGGGGCCGGCTTTGACTCTCCGGGGGCAGACCGATGGGTTGCTCATCACCCCCTGCCAATGATCCTTCCTCGGAGGGCTATATTGGATAAACGAAATGATGCACCAATTAGGGGCATGTAACTTTGGAGAAGTTGTTACATTCTATTCATTTACTGCATCAAAACACATAAAGAAGATAGAATGGAAACCACATCATGTAAAAACTCAAAATCTAACTTGGTGCAATTATATAACAATGGTATACAAGGGACCCATTTCACAAAGCCTTTTTTTAATAACAAATGACAAAAATCAGTGACAAATCTGCTGGCCACCAATCAGAAGTAAGGATTTCAGTAGCTTATAACAAAAACTGTCATTTGTCACTGATGACAAGTTTTGTGAAACGGGCCCCTGTATTACCTCTCTAAATGACACTGAAAGGGCCGAGCTTGTCTGGCTTTCTAAGCTCTCCTGCCTCGGAATCTCCGCTAATTTCTTCTGCTTCTTCTTTCTCCTAGGAGGAGCGACAGGTGGAGGCATGTCATCACGTTCCCCTTCTCCTTGGATGGGAGCCGCACCGGACGAGGGACTTGGCTCGTCCGCACTGGGCGAGGAGGGCGCGGCCCCCGACAGCGGGAGCTCACTAGGGCGCTCTTTGGTGCTCGCGATGACGTCCGGTTCCACATTCCGGTTAGCCAGACCCGGTTCTCGCTCCAGCCGCTGGGAGTGGTCCTGGTCCTGGGATTGGTCTGTGTTGCCGGTCGCTTGATTATTAGATTCCTCCGCTGTTAATTCCGCATCGGAGGGCATCCCAAGGTCCGGTTGTCCCTGGTTACCAGGTATCGTGCCAGCAATCTCCTGCAAGGGAAGTCACATCTTTCATTTATCTTTGACTGACAACTTGTTAATTTAAAGCCAAAAAGTTATAATGTAGTCAATACAATGTCTGTTCAATTAAAGGGGTTGTAGCATGGCCAATACTGGTTAACGCCATCTACGACTTCTTTCAGACAACTGCACGTGAACGAATGGACTAGATTAACAGTCAGCAAGCGCTAGTGTTCGCCAAACAGACCAAAATTCTCCTCATGCTTCGGTTTCGCGTATGTGTTGCACGCACATGAATACTGCGGTCGGTTGTACGTAGTCGTATTATACCCGATTGGCCCCGAGTCAAGCCATGGGAAAGACACATAGTCTTGTCATGCTGCACCCCCTTTAAAGAGAGTTGAAGATTTGGCTCAAAGGGAATTCCATATCCTTCAGGTTGACAATCTCAGTATCGGTAATTCAACATTTTGTTTCTTTATGTCAACAAACACCGTCCTTTGTTTTCATATCAATAAAGATCTCCACAAGGACAAAAATACTGGACTTACATGCAACCTATGCCAACTGCTATTTGGCCATGATATCTATCACCACCATTATCAAATGTCCTCATGGGCTATTGTATTTCATTACCTAGAACTGTACAACATATCCTATCAGAACATAGAAAGAGGTTTCATAACTCACTTCCCCATCTTCGTTGCGCCTCATCTGTTCCAATCGCTTTCTCCTCCTAATGGCTTCTTGGCGGCGATCTTCAGCTTCCTGTAATGTTGAAGAGGAATTTGTTTTAAAATCAGTCTTTTGGGGAAAAGCACTTGTGTCAAGGAAGTGTCAAGGAAACACTCCTGGGAGGTGTTTCTCAAAGACTAAGATCGACTTTAAGTTAGACTTTACTATGGCAGGCCGTTTATGCCACCGGTTGCTCTCACCATTGGTCTCTTGATTATGATCTTTACATAATATTCTTTTCTTCAATAACAAACTATCAACAATTGTGAATTCTGTAGATTTGTGATCACGATTTGTATGTCCCTTGAGAAACCAATGCCAGGAATGGTTAGAGGAACTAATGGCATATATGGCCTGCCATAGTTAAGTCCAACTTAAAGTTTATCTTAGTGTTTGTGAAACACTCCTCTGGTCACACATAGGTGCATTACTATCCTGGCTGTGTATTAAAAGTTGTGCTATTGATTCTTAACATTTCAAACACCACTGTACAAAACTCAACTGATTTCACTCTAAATTGGTACTTTAGTGATGATTGATGACACCTAAATAGCAGTAAAATACAATTTTTTCAACTTTCCAATGTTAGAAAGAATAATTTAAAAATTCAAATTGTGAGTCCACTGTCAAACTTGCCAATCAGCCGCATCGACATGATTGTGTGCATCTGTGTGTTATGAGTGTATTGACTATTCATGTATTCAAATGCTGCCTACTCAACACGTAGTGCAGTGCTAGAGGTCAGATTGACATCTTGCCATAGGACAGTAGTGCCAGGCTAGGATCAACCTTTCAACCTCTTACATTAAAAAGAAAGTTGTGTGAATGGACTACAAAATGAGGACACCTCTACGTTTGCTACACAGGGGGCTGTTCAGACTTCAAAGTCTGCATGTACATGTACACATAAAATGCACATAGTCTGATATCATTGATACCTGAATTCAAACACGTGCTGCTAATATTGCTGAAAGTTCGTCTTCAAGGACGAATATCAAATAGCTGTAATTTGAACTTACGTTCATTTTCTTCTCAAACATGACAGGCTCAATTTCATTTCCTCATCAAGTGATACACGACATGGATCACATGTCACATTTCTAGCACATTTTCTCAACAAAAGACCATTAATCAATATATTAAATTCAATTTATAGAACGATTCTCTGTTAGGGTTGGTCCTAAAATTTGGAATTCCCTACGTGCTTTTTTACAGTCTGTCCGATTTAAAAATTCATTCAAAAGACTTTACAAGAAACATCTTCTCTCTCTTTATAATGCATAATTTATTTTAAGACCACGTCTCTCATACTAATATGATATCCCCCCTTTTTTTTTCTAAGCATATGTTATTATTACTTTTGCGCCTGGTGCATTCAATTGTAAAGCCTTATTGGCTTTTACGGATGCACCATTTTCTATTTGTACTATGGTTTATACTTTCATATTTTCATTATATTTCGATATTGTTATTTGTTATGATATTCCATATTTTATTTTTGTATATATATATTACATTGTTGATTTGTTATGTTGATGGAAATAAATATCAATCAATTCAAGTACTGATAAGATATTCTTCAGGCACATTAAAATCAGAATTAAAATGAGAGCTGAACAAATACGGTACAGGATATTATGAATATTGACATTTCATAATACAGTCATTAATGAGATCATGTGATCATATAGTTAAAATTGATAATTATGATTTATTGTTTTTGAATTTTGGGTTGATTCGATAAAGATTAAGTTAAAATTATTAATATGACTTACTCAGAGATTAATGAGTAATGTGTAAGTTTGTTCAATTGACTTATGCTTTATGTACAGTGCGTCCCAGAAAAAACGAAACCGATAAGTATCAATGTTCTATCATAACTTAATCACAACTATAATTAATGAATGATACATATTTGGAAAGCTTAGAGTCTCTTCTTTCATGTGATGCTACTCAGATAATGTATATTTCACGCATGAGTGATTAAAATCAATTTGAAGGAAGGAAACCAAAAAGACATTTGGCGGGCGGTATCTGAATTTCAAAGAAAAATTCACATTTCTAGAAAGTTGAGTTTCTGCCCTTTCATATGACACCTCAATCAGGAAAAATGAGCAAGGAATGACAAAGTTCTGTTTGTTTAAAGTAGTGCTTGCATTTCCATAATTTTATTAAACGAATTCGTTTTCACAGGCTGCCTGCCGTATCAATAAACGAAATTAACAAAAGACTTAACTCCGTTTCGTTGACAATCAGCCGTAGACGAGAGTCTTCATGCATGGCTGATTGTCAACGACACGGAGTTAAGTCTTTTGTCAAATCTGCTTTTTGTTACGGCAGGCATCCAGTGAAAACGAATTCGTTTGTTAAAATTATGAAAATGTAAGGGCTACTTAAAACAAACAGAACTTTGTTATTCCTGGCTTATTTTTCTTGATTGAGGTATCATATGAAAGAGCAGAAAATGAACTTTCTAGAAATATGAATTTTTCTTTGAAATTCAGATACCGCCCGCCAAATTACTTTTTGGTTTCCTTCCTTCAAATTGCTTTTAATCACTTATGCGTGAAATATGCATCACGTGAGTAGCATCAACTGAAGGAGGAGATTCTAAGCTTTCCAAATATGTATCATTCATCAATTATGGTTGTGATTAAGTTATGATAAAACATCGATACTTCTCGGTTTCGTTTTTTCTGGGACGCACTGTATATACCTTGTAACCATTTATGTGGACAATAAAACAAATCAAATCAAATCAAATCAAATCAAATCAAATCATGTCACTAAGTTTTTATGTCCACAAGGAAAAATTACACATGTACCTGCTCTTCTCTTTGCCGTTCTTCTTCTTCCAGTCGTCTCTTTACTTCTGCCTCTCTCTCTTTCTGTAATCTTTCCATCTCTTCTCTAAGCCTCTGTGTCAAAAAACAGAAATAAATTTATTGAGCATATATCAGTTATAAAGAGAAAAGGGAGGGGAGACCCCAAGAGTCATAGTGATTACGTTTGTTCTTAATTCCCTTCCAAGGCACAGCTGACGCCAAATCTTTCATAATAAAATGATTTATAATTCTTTCTCTTCAATATTTCAAGGAAATAAAATGCATCAGTTGTTGCAATATATGATAACAAATTAACAATTTATACAAGTATCATATTTTGGATTTGGAACAATTGGGGCCAAGTTTAAATGTACATGTGGAACCACTATCCTACCCCTGTCATACCATTTAATGCAACTGCAGAATTTACAAATAGATTAAAACATGGAAAAGGGTGCAAAGCACTCAATCTTGAGATGACTTACAGGGTTAGAGTTGGTATACATTCTATTCATGAAACACTGTCTTGTGTTTTAAATTGGGAAGACTTTCTTTTGCGACAGCCACCCAAACTGAGGGAAAAAAATATGGGTACAGCTTAGAATGATATATCTAATAATAATAAGTCCCTAAAATCATTTGAAATGATGGGGCAATCCTAATGAAAAACACACCTGCTCCTCTCTTTCTTGTTCTTCTCTCTTCTTCTCCTCCAGTTCCCTTATCTTTTGTTGCATAATGGCATCCTCTTTCTCTCTCTTCTCTTCTGCTTTCCTTTTCTCCTCCTCCAAATGACGCAACTCGTCTTCATACTGGTTGGTAGTTGACTGCCGGTTTCCTCGCTCTCTTGCCGCTTTCCTTAACAACAGAAATAGGAAATTCAATAAAAAATCGGCGCTAGTGTAGTTCCGTATCCATTTTTTTTAGCAGTTTAAAAATCCATTCTTAGCAAAGGAATTTTAGCCCAATTTTTGACTAATTTTAATCATAATCATATATTGCATTTTCCACCTGAATTTGGATCACATTCGACATCGGGAAACATTCATTTAAGGCTTCGATGTCAACGTCGTCGCTTAGTACCGTCTACAACTACGCTGTAGTCCTGCACCTCAAACTGAAGCTATAAGTCCAAAATTATGCAGACTTCTTGTATGCGCGATACCATAAACCATACGAAAAGTCTGCATAATTGTGTACTGATAGCTTAAGTTTGAGGAACAGGACTGCAGCGTAGAGACGGTACTGAGCGACGACGTTGACATCGAAGCCCTAAACGAAGGTTTCCCGATGTCGGATGTGATCCAAATTCAGGTGGAAAATGCAATATATGTTTATGATTAAAATTAGTCAAAAATTGGGCTAAATTTCATTTGCTAAGAATGGATATTAAACTGCTAAAAAAAAAGGATACGGAACTACACTAGCGCCAAAAAATCACTTTTAAAAGATCATAAAATTATAACCGAAATGCCACATAACAATTGTTATTCATGCAGTAGATCTAGAAACTAGAAAGATTGTCTGAACCAAGAAAATATTCAAACTACCCAAATAGACCTCTAGACTCTAAGCCCAAACAGGCTAAATGTCAAGTAAAATTGAAAATGAAAAGCAAAACTCAAATCCATCCAAGGCAAGTGCAAGGCAAAATAGTAAACTTAAAAAATAAAAATAAAAGCGATAATTAACAACTTGAAATGTGAAACAGTTAGGACCTGATGACACCAAACACTAGACTCTAAGCCTCTAATATAACAGGAAGCAATTATTTATGAAATAGAAAGATTTACAGCACGGACCTCGGACGATCACGCCACGGAAGTCGTGCACTTTTAGCAAAGTGAGTGAATTAAAAAAAAATATATCATCGTCAATCAGCACAAAAAACACTACACTGAAATGGATACACGGGAACACGTAAAACTCTACTTGCCTGGCAGGACTGGAAGAGACTTCTTCTGGGGCGTCATAAAATTCCTCTGTATCACTTTCTGAGTCCATTTTATCCTCTTTCTCAAAGAGAAGATGTCTGCAAAGCAAGTGATTTCTTCAAAGATGTCCAATGTCTCCAATAATGTAGATAAAACCCTGAATATTTGTTCCTAGAATGCCAGGGTCAATGTTGTTTTCATCCGTTTTAGAAGCCGCAATGGACCGCAACAATTCGCAAAGAGTCATCGAGATCAACGCTTCTACCGTACACATGTCTCTACTCGCTGCGTACATGTCAGCTGTAAGAGCCGTCGAAAGCCGCTTACAACCGTCAAGAGCCGCCAAGAGGCAATATACATGGATTAATCACAAAGCAGCGCGCCAACAGTACAGTCACCCTAAAGAGGCGAGGTTCAAGGGAAAGTCCACCCTGAAATTAAGTTAGTTTTAATAGGAGTAGAAAAATGAGAGAAACAATTCAGTGAAAGTTTGAGCAAATTCCGATTAAAAATAAGGAAGTTAGGATTTTTGAAGTTGTGATCAATCAAACACAAATTGGCAACTCTATGACGTATCATGCGAGCTCAACTTCCATTTGCTCAGTACTAAAAAAATCTAAAATTTTCATTTTCCCTCAAGAAAAATTTCAACCATACATGCACCCTAAATATAATAATTGCAAATATGTTTCTATACTCCCCCTGCAAGGAACAAATATATATTCCGTCATCAATAACGAAGAAAACATGATTTTATGGAATATTATGCACAAAGCAAATGAAGGAGAGCTCGTATGATAAGTCACAGAGTTGCCAATTTGTATTTGATTGATAACAACTTCAATAATTCATAACTTTCTTATTTTCATTCAGAATTTGCTCAAACTTTCACTCACCTGATTTTCTTATTATTCTGCCTCTATCGAAACAAACTTATTTTGGGGGTGGACTTTCCCTTTCATGCATGCATGCATTGGAACAGGCGAGGATCCACGATCCACGGGTGGGGGAGCTAGGGACGACGGGCGACTGGCGCCCCCACCCCCCCCCCCCCTGGTAAAAAAAGGGGGGCACCCCTGGCAACAACAAAAATGATGGTCACCACAAATCTACCTTTTTCCCTTTTTGCTCAAGGGTTTGGATAAAACCAAGTAAATTTTTCAGCGCACAATGAAAACGAGTATAAATCGCGAAATCCCGCAAAATCATCATTTATAAATTATGAAAACGAAAAAGCGCTAAACGAAAGTAATTTGATAAACGAAAACACAAGAAAGAAGCTCAAGAAAGTAATAAGCTTGAGAAAGATTACCAATAGTCCTTTTCAGCTAGGACTACACACTCTCACAAAGGCCTACAGTCCTCGACCCCCCCCCCCCCCATCCACCCTCCCACTCTCTCACATGGTGCAACCGTAAGCCTACTAATAAATATTAAACAAAAGTGCAAACACCACTACACATCGTGCATGTATCTACAGCAAGATGAGGGCACAATCGTACATTTTATAGAGGGGGCCGGGGGGCGGGCTGATTTCTTTTACTCACATAATTATATCAACTCTTCAGATTATAATGTTTCCAAGCGCAAGCAAAGCGAACGCGCAAATCAAAATAAAATAAATTTCTTCATATTTTGACAAATTCATATTCGGGCACTTTAACCTGCCCTTATATGACACTAAAGTCTAGGGCATCTTGCTCACTGGCATATGCCTACTGGAGGTCTAGGTGGTTGGGGGCTTCTGTCCCCGTAAAACTTCCGAGTTCTGCCCCAAACAAAAAAAATAACAGGGAGAAAAGGAAAACGGAAGAAGGAAAGAAGAAAGATATAAAGAAAAAAGTATAAAGAGAAGAAGCATTTAAGAAGGGGAAAAAGAGCTTCCTTTAAAATTTCATGCCGTTTTACCCCAGCCACTTTCTTTTGTAACAATCTAGGCCTACCGTCAAATGTAAGTTTTGTCGGGCCTTTGCAAATGGTAGCTCTCCTTCACTGGGGCACGATGAAGTACCCACCCCGGTTCATTGAAAATGTATGAAGTCCATGCCCTTTCTAAAGCCTTAGAAAAATGCGTTATTACACAGTTACATCAGGAGACCGTCTATAAAATGGCTGCATGTTTGTACATGTAGTAATTAACTCCCCTCCTAATCTCTCGAATGCAATAAATGTTTGTTTAATCACGATTGTCTTACAGTGGTAGGGAATGATCTAATTCTCATTCCCCTATAGTTTTATACCAGCCTTTAGGCCCCTTTAGGCTCTGAAATATTATGTAATGCAAAGTTTCACTACTAAAGTATAACAAGGGAAGGTCTCCCTTCTAAGTTGCTGCGCCGTGGCCTCACGAAATATACTATATATAACCCCTATATAGCCGTAAACCTTAAATATATAACATATTCTTTGAGTATATAGTTGTCCCTTGAAATTTTCAGTGGTTAAACTTTACGCTGGTTATCCAAATAGAAATAGAGCAAAGAAGGCTTAGAGTATTATTTACCTGTCAGGAGATCAAAAGAGGCCTTAAATTTAGTTGCAATATTTCAAACAACAACCAAAAAACAAAAAAAAACAAAAAAAATCGGGAAAAAATAGAGTGTATAAGTAATTAAAGGGCGCTTCGATGATAATCAAAAATGTGAATAACGTAAAATGAAAAATTGTCTCATTTCGGGGAAAATCGGACACGGTGATAAACTTCTTTTCTCCCCCCCCCCCCCCCCCCTCCCCCCCAAAGTTTTAAGGGATTGAAACCCGAGTCACAGCCAGGGGCGTCGCCAGACCTTTTTCAGTGGGGGGGGGGGGGTGTAGAGGCCAACGATTACCGACAAAACTAGCCACCAATTACCGACAAAATTAAATGTCCAATATCTACAAATTCAACTCTATAAACCTGGGGCCGAAGGCTAAATTGTTTTTCCTATGGACTATCTTTAGTACTTGCATATGCGCAAAATGGTCATTTTCCTCGACGACATAAATATACGAATTATTTCTTCAATTTAGTCAGCATCAAAGCTATATATTTTAATGCAGGCGTGGAGCTAAGATTTTATTTTAGGGAGGGGTGGTAGTGAGCAAGAGAATCACTTAAAAGCGCGCTCATGAGGGGGG